GGGAGACACGCTGCTTGTCTGTGATGGAAAAGCAGACATCTTCGCAGAAGATGCAGATGTGTTTGAGTCTCAGAGCTGCCCGGAGGCCCTCGGGGCCTTTCAGGCTGGTGGGGGTCAGCCTGGGCTCGGCCCTGTGGTCTGTGGATATGTTGGCGCTTAATTCCGGTTCCAGAGAAAACTACGGGGGGATCCCAGAGGCGCCGGAAATCCGGCCATCTGGGAGAAGGCAGAAAATGCCGGCACATGGAAAACGCTTACTCAGCCTCCCCCAGCAAGTGGCTTAAAATTCTGCTGTGAGAGAAGGATTTTGATGCCAGTCTGCCCGGGTTCAGAACGGTCCTGCCACTCACCAGCTGTGTGCTAGCGTGGGCACTTGAGTGCATCACATCAGTGGCATCTTCCGTGCTGGCGGTACCCACCTGCTCTCACGGATAATCCCCACAAGACGCCGCTCCGCACAGGAGGGAGGCGGCTACCTCCCCAAAAGAACCAGGCGAGCAGCTCCCCGGCGACTGCCTTATATTTTGTCTGTATCACACGTACCTCAAGGCGCCATTTGTATGAAAATTGGTTGTGTCTCCAGACCCAGTGGTAAATTATTCAGGCATCAACTAAAATTGAGAGACTGCCTAGATAATGAAAAACTTAAATGAGGGTTGTGTTTACCAACACAACTTATATCATTTTAAAAAATGAGGAATTTATGGCTGGTGGTCTTTTTCCCCCCTTGAATTTATGGGTGACATTCCACAACGTAATGAATCAATTCGACGCAAGGTGACAGTTCTAAGTCACAGATGTGACACAGATTCTTTATACTAGTGCCGAGATGGGGCCGAGGAAATGACAAAGAAGATGTCGGAATTCCATAAAAGCGGACTTAGGAAATTAGGGCTATCGCCTCACTTTCATCTCATTGGAAGTTTCCAGATGTTGAAAGCAGCAGTCTCTAGAGGAGATACGACGTGAACCACATGTAGAATTTAAAATTTTCTGGTACTCATGTTTCAAAAGGTATAACAAGCCAGGCTCCCATGGCTCAGTGGTTGAGCATTGACCTATAAACCAGGAGGTCATGGTTCGATTCCCAGTCAGGGCACATGCCCAGGTTGCGGGCTTGAATCCCAGTGTGGGGCGTGCAGGAGGCAGCCGATCAATGATTCTCATCATTGATGTTTCTCTCTCTCTCTCTCTCTCTCTCTCTCTCTCTCTCTCCCTTCCTCTCTGAAATCAATAAAAAATATTTTTAAAAAAGACATAACAAAACAGGTGAAATTCATTTTAGTCATTTATTTAGCCCAGTATCCAGACCATTGTCACTTCACCACGTCATCAATATAAAATTATTAATGAGACACTTACCCGTTCTTTGGTTTTGTTCTTGAAACCCAGTGTGTGTTACACCCAGAGCACATCCCAGTGCCCTGAGCCACAGGTCAGGGCTCAGTAGCCACGTGTGGCCGATCTCTCCCGGGTGGGACAGGGGAGCATGAGAAGCTAAGCTTATCTGTGGGGCTCTCAACAGTCTATCTGTGAGTGCATTTTAGAGAAACCGCTCAATCAGGAGTTTAAATAAGCATTTCAAAGAAATGTACTCAGTGCCCATTCTGTGAGCACATTGAATTCAAACGTGACCTCTCTCTGTCCAAGGTCTTATAAGAGCCCGCCTGCCCCGCCCCCTCCGTGTTGCTGAGGCCAGTGGAGGTTTCAGTAAGTGAGCGTGCCAGCCGCTGGCAGAGGCTCCGTGCACAGGGCCCAGGTGGGTGCCAAGGCGAGTCCTCCAGATGCCTGGGTGGCCAGGTGTCTCCGAGGGGAGGGGCCCGCCTGCAGGGCCGGGGGTCAGACACAGCGTCCTGGTGCTGGCATGGTCCCCGGGCCTGCCTGAAGTTCCTTAACCCTCCCCGGATTGTTGTCTTTGGCAGCAAACAGGTACGCGTGGCTGTCAGGAGGTTCCTCGGGACAAAATGTGCCGACACAGCTCTTTGCAAGTTTGGCCCTGGAGGAGGTAGACGGTGATGCTAAACAAAAGGGCAGCGCAGGCCCAGCGTGGAGCTCGCCGCCGCCAAGGGAAGCACAGGGTTAATCACTGTTTTGCTTAAAACATTGATTTTTTATAAGTAATCCTTACGGGATAGCATCTCTGGCGTATCTCTCAGCTGGCTTAGCAGTTTTCTGATTTTCTCTCTGGCTGGACCCCTCTTATCTCACTGCTATTTACTCAACTCAGGGATTCTCTGCCGTCCTCTGGGGAAAGCGAGTTATGCTAATTATTTATCCTTCGGCACAATTTATTGAGTGCCTGCTCCTCTTCCAAGAGTCAGCTCAAGAGGCTCTGGGGGTGGGGGTGGGGACGGCTGGCATCCCAGGGTGCCCTTGCGCCTGGCTGGCTCCGTGGGCAGCTCGTACCTGCCGCATTTATCTGTTTGCATCGCGATTCCTGCGGCATCGTCGTCTTTCTGGCCGAGCCTGTGCAGACGGGTGAGCAGAGGTGCTAGCGAGATGCCCGACCGTGGCGGGGGCGCAGGAAAACACCAGGCCCCCCCGTTTCATCTTGCACACCCAGCAGCGGAAGTTCTTCGTCTCCCGCCTCCCAGCGCACACTCTGCCCCCCACCAGGTGCCGTGTCTGAGCGCACGGCGCTGCCTGTGCTGGCGGTGGGAGCGAGGTTCTGCTCCCGCACAGGGACTGTGCTAATGTCAGCAACTCCTCACCCCTGGCCGAGGCCTGGGGCCTCCTCCCAGCTCACACCCCGCCCCCCCCCCCCCCATTCAGAAAAGAATGTTGTCGCTATTGGTTATTGACTTTCTGTCTCCACTGATAATGTCAGTCGATTTGGGGAACTCACCGGAGTGAGTTGGTAGCCAAATGAATTCAAAACAAGCCCCAAACTATCTTTCCACGTGTTTGTTTTTAAACAGGCAGATCCGTTTGCTTCCTAATTTTCCTTTTCAGTTGACACATCATTTCTGACAGCAAAATCGTCACCTGGGAGTAGAAATGTCCCCACCCTTCCATTTACAAAGCAGCTTTTGCTTAGCATCCGTTCCTTCAGAACACGGCGAGTGTCTCCTTCCCGGGTAAACCTCTGTGTGCACAGGAAGTGACGTCATGCCCGGAATCCCTGGGCAGCAGCCCGGGGTCATCGGGTTTGGTGGTTACCGCTGGGCCACAGCAGCGGACCTGTCCCTGAGCCGGGCAGGTACGTGGGTGAATCCCCGGGAAAACACCTGCGGAGGAAGAGCACCCCTGCGGGAGCCGGAGGGCGAGGCAGGTGGAAGCAGAAGCGTTTGAGTGGGGCTTTCACAACATCATGGCATCGGCTGACGCACACGTGCCTCAGTGCTGGTGCGGCTGTGCAGGTCACGGTTGTTTATAATGGACGGCACCTAGTGTGGTGGGCTGGTTAGGTGGATGCGGCCGGTTTGTGCGGTGGCTCCCTGGCCCGGGAGACGGGGCTCTGACTCATAGCTGGACCCGGGAGGCCCTTGGATGAGAAGGGAAGTGTATTCTGTAACACCTCATGATAGGGGCTTCCCGACAACCCATCGAAAGCTGAAACCCACCTTCCGATTCTCAGTCCTCTCCCCTCACCCCAGTGTCTCCTCAGTGCCATCAGCCTTCATATAAAGCAAACCAACAAGGAGAGCGTGGCCTGTGTGTGCTCCCCACCGGACAGGTGTGCTCCTGAAGGCGGGCCTCCTGTGGGCTGTGCTCTGTCCCTGGGAGCTAAACGTGCGCGGCATTAAGCCAGCCCACGAGGCACCGTTGGCCGAAGGGCATGCCGTGCGGGCAGAGGTGGTTTTGTGATCTGTGCTCACTGGGCACATCGCAGCCGTCCCTGCTCACCGAGTGTCCTCCCCACACGGCCGTGCCGGCTGCTGCCGTCTCACCGAGTGGACGCACGTACAGCCGTGTGCCTTTTGCTGATACTTCTAGTTTCGTGCTAGAAACCTCTGTCTCAAGGCATCGGGCACGTGGATGAATTACAGGAAGGGAAATGCCAGGTTAAAAGTTGTGAATTGTATTAAGATTTTGTTGTTTTTCATTGCACAATTAATTTTATTGTCCTTTGAGAATGATAGCTCAATTTATTGCTAACAGGTATTATGGAATTTTTATTTATTTATATTTTAGATCATACTTTCTTTTCTTTTTTTAAATTTTATTTTCATTGTCTAAAGTTTTACATATGTCTCCTTTTTCCCTGCTTGGAACCCCCCCCCCCGCCCCCCCCCACCCAGCCATTCCCACCCCGGGCAAGCCCCCACTGCCCCAATGTCTGTGTCCGTTGATTATGCTAATATGCATGCATACACGTCCTTTGGTTGAAAACACATTTCCAGATTGCTTTCCAGAGCTGAGCAAACGAGACTTTCACCATCAATATAAGCTGGTGCCTACAAAGTGTTTCTCAGAAACCAGTTATTCCAGGCACTGAGGGTCCCTTTTTTATTTTTTTTAAGCTTTACAGAGAAAGCAGAGAAGAAGTTGGCTTTTGCATTCTCCTGTGATGCCGAATAATCCAAGCTGGATCTGTATTTGCAGCCCGACCCCTCACAAGGAGCTGCCAGGCCGAGAGGGGTGGGGCCTCCCCATGGTGGTGGCCAGTTGGATGGCAGCCACGTGCCCAGGGCCCTCTCTGCCCCCAGCACAGCTCCCCTCTCCACCCCCTCCCCCCACTGCTTGTGCTGGTCCCTGGGCCCCCTCAGCTCCTGCTCCCAGCATCACCTCTGACCTTGCACGGCCCTGCATCCGGCCCCTTCTCCGAGGAGCTGGTGACGGTCCGCGTGGCGGCTCGCGACTGTCGCAGAGCTGTGTGCTCTGTCACCGGGACATCTGAGAACGCATCCCTTTGTCTCTGGGGCAGTGGCACAGTGTCCACTCCCAAGAAAGGGGGCTGGCCCACTCTTGTGTTCTGTGCTCGTGTGTTGCATCATGAAATGGCATCTGTCTCCCGTGGCCCCGGTGTCCCCCGCTGACCTCCTGGCCCTCTCCCGCAGGTGGTTGCCACAACAGCCTTAAGCCCGTCGGCAGCAGCCCCGCCATCGCCATCGCCGCCGCTGCCGCAGCCATGGTCTCTGTGGACGCTGAGGGACTTGGGGGCCCCTCCCCCTCCAGTGCGCAGCCCTGCCACTTCCTGACGCTGGCACCCATCAAGATACCCCTGCGGACTGTCCCCTTCCCTGGTAAGCGGGAGCACGGCCTTCAGAGCCTTGAGTCGGTTCCAGAATCCACGGTAAGGAGCATGAGGGGGACCAGCCACCCGCAGGCGCCTGGCTTCCTGGGTCCGTGAGCTGTGGGGCAGCCAGGCTGGCCAGGGGAGGGGCGGGGCAGGCGGTATACAGGTTAGCTCATCACCCATCTCCACAAAGGGACTCGGGTCCATTCAACAAGGCTTTGCTAAGTCAACCCGGGGCATTTCCTGCCGTAGGGCAAAGCTCCCGGTTTCTGTTTGAGACATGCCACGGCCCTCGCTAACTTGTTAGGGGAGGGGACACGTAGGGGACAGGGCATGGCACCGAGAAGTTTGAGGTTTTCTTACCAGAACACGAAGGGAAGCAGAGGCAGCGTGCCAGAAGGCAGTCAAGCCTCTCAGTCAACACAACACGGAACGGACACCGTGGGCCTCGTATGGACTCTCGGCGCCTGGAGTCCTCCTGGCCTTGTAGCTGGGCCTGTTCCGAGCACAGGGTTGGGGTCTGCCCACCGCGGCAGGAGCTCTGTGAAGCGCCGGAGCCTGTGGGCGTGCCTGACGGGCCGGGACGGCCACAAAGGCATTGAGTCCGGGTGCCGTGGGGGGGCGGGGGGGGTGGCTCTTCTGAAAAGTCCTCAGGTGGCTCGGGATGGGCATCCTGGTGTCCTGCGCGGTTCCCGATGCCCGATGCCTGCGGGGGGTTCCGGAGGGAAGTGGGAGGCCGGTCCTGATGGGTGGCGACTCCGTTGTTCACAGTGTACGTGGGCGTCTGTGGACTGTGGCCACGACATCATGTGTCCAAGCCGTCCTTGTGAACGCACGGTTAGGTCCCTTCCTTACACGTAGCAAAAGCCACGTCTCCTGGGCGAATGCTCTTTGATTTTAGCTTTCTATGTGATTCGATAAGACAAACGGAAATTCTGCAGAGTTCTAATAATAATTGTACCCTGGAGATAATGCTAGAATTCTTTTTAAAAAATACATGTTTTTATTGATTTCAGAGAGGAAGGGAGAAGGAGAGAGAGATAGAAACATCAATGATGAGAGACAATCATTGATCGGCTGCCTTCTGCACACCCCCTACTGGGGATCAAGCCCACAACCCAGGCATGTGCCCTGACCGGGAATCGAATCATGACCACCTGGTTCATAGGTCGATGCTCACCCACTGAGCCACACCGGCTGGGCTAGAATACTAATTCTAGTACTAGTATCATTAATTGCTTGCTTATCAGCAATAACAAATATCACTAGATTGTTACCTGTATGAGTTCTAGGTAGAAAGGGAAATAGCCTTGCTGTCTCCAGTGTGGGGAGTGCTGCTTTGCTCACCTGGTTTCTGGCAACTCTAACGTGGCCTTCTCAACACGGGCCACCGGCTTCCATATTTCTCTCCCGGGTTGATAAGTTAGCTGGTCAGCAGAACATCGTACTTTCCAGAACAAAATCTTACGTCTGTTTCGGCATGTTACTGAGCATGCATTTGGGGTGTGACGGGGAAATGAGTAAACCACAGAGACGATCTCTGAGTGGAACATAATTTACAGCCGTGTCAAGATTTTGGTTCAGATCCATCAATCCATTGGCGCTTATTAAGGACGACTAAATGTGTTTCAAGGAAGTTACTCTTAGAACCGAACGCCATGGCACCAGGAGTAGCTTCACTCCCGGGTCTCTCACGGGATTTATAAAGTAGATGCTCACCAGGCATCTCTCCGCACTGCATTTTGTAAGGCTCTGTAATCACATTTGCCATAATGTGCCTTCGGGAAGAAACCAGACAGGCCTCGGCTTTATCCCGTAGATAACCGCCCAGACGCTGCCAAAGAGATGGGAGGGACAGGCTCACAGGCGGCTTCTAGAATGGCCTTTACAGTGTTGGCCTCGGTCTAGTTCCTGGAAACCTGGCTTTACTGAGGAGACACCTGGGTGAGGCTGAAATGCAGGCTGGAGGCTGTGTCTGGACCAAGGACCCCAGCCAGGGGGTGGTCCCGGGGCTCTGGGGCCCATCCCCAGCATCAGGGGTGACAGGTGCCCCCAGTGAGGGGGTCTTCGGGCAACGCGACTTCCGAATAGTGTTTTCCTGGCTCTTTCCTCCTGGCCTCAGCGGGAGGCGTGGGAGTGAGACTGGCCGGGGTCCCGGTGACCAAGGGATGTCTGTCAGGGCTGCTTTGAGCCGTCAGCAGCCCCACAAACGAGCTTCTGTGAGACTGAAGAGCTGACTCTCTTGGTGAACATTCTCCGTGGGGTTCCAGCCGCCTGCTGGGCAATCCCTGCGCCCTGAACGTAGGAGGCCTGTAGGGGGCGGGGGGGGGGGGAGGAGGAAGCGAGGACAGCGTTGCTAGCACAGCAGAGCTCATAGACCACGGCCGTGCAGCTCTCTGTGGGATTTGCTCCGCATTCAAGCAGATCTTATAAAAGCAGGTGAACTTTAATGTCGCTGCGATGAGTAATCCTGTTTGCACTTAGACGATCACTCCCATTTTATCAGATGAGCTGGGTAACCTCCGAGCCCCACACGGCGCAGCTTCATGGTTCTCAGCCGGGGGGCGGGGGCTGGGGGTGCTCCCCCCGGGGCACATTTGGCAGTGGCTGGGGACATTTATTGTTGGGGGGGGTTGCTATTGGGACGTAATTCTAGTGGGTAGAGACCAGTGGTTCCGCCCCACATTCTACAACCCCCAGGACAGCCCCCCCCCCGCCGTGGTGAAGAGCTATCTGGCCCCAAATGTTAGCGGTGCCTGTCGGGACACAGCGGTGTGTATTCTAGAATTCCATGTAGACGGTGGGAACCCGTATTGGGGTGTGGACGGTCTGCCCTCATCGGGAGAGTCAGTGACCCAGTAAGTGAAGGGCTTTGAAGGAAGTAGGCAGGGTGCTGGGAAGGCCAGACATGTTACGCTAACATTACACGCCTGTAGCGTGACTTAGAGTCCAAAGGGGGTACATGTTGAAAGAACCCATGGCCCGTTCCAGTCTCCCATCAGCGGTGCTTCCTCTGCCCGAGTGGCCGGCACCTGCAGCCAAGTTCGTCCCTGCGGTTGCTCTTCTCAGGGCCCGTGCTTTCCTGGTGCCTGCTGGCCTCCTGCTCACCTCAGTCCGTTCACACCTGTCCCCGCCCTAGGCTGTCAGTCATCTGCTGGCGGGCTGCCCCCGGCACCGGGGTCACGCTCACACGGTGGCTCCACGCGTGACTCCACGGCAGCTTCCCCGGCTCCTGTGACCACTCTCCACTTTGTACATCAGCAGGTTGTGTAACCTATTCGACTTCACAGAATTTCCTTTTTTTTTTTTTAATTCCTTACCCGAGCATATGTTTTTATTGGCTGAGAGAGAGGCAAAGAGAGAGAGAGAGAGAAACATCGATGTGAGAGAGACACATCGATCAGCCAGCTCCTGTACGCACCCAGACCGGGGATAGAACCTGCACCCTGGGTGTGTGCCTTGACGGGACTGACCCCATGACCTTCCAGTACACGGGACAGTGCTCAACCCACTGAGCACACTGGCCAGGGCCACAGAATTTCGAATGCTCCCTCTCACGGGTCTGCTCCTGTCTGAGGGGAGGTAGCAGGAGGCGGGCACAGCAGGGTTACCTGCAGGTGTGGGCAGTGACGGGGGAGCTGGCCGATGGGGGATGGTGGCAGCGGGCACCTCCTCTCCCTTCTCCTCAAGCAGGTCTCAGCGACACAGCCTTCCTCATTTCTGACTGTTCCCTTAAGCCTTAGCACTTCGGTGCAAGCACAGACACTTTCGGGGTGAAACGTATCTGGCACTCTGTATTTCCTAGTGTGTAAGGAAGAGGTGAAGTTTACCGAGGGGAGAAAGACAGTCCTGCGGGAGGGTTTGTCGCAGAGCAGGGCCCGCTGTCCCCCTCTCTGGGTGGGTCCTCAGACTCATGTTTTTGTTGTTGTTAATCCTTGCCCGAGAATATTTTCCCATCGATTTTTAGGGAGAGTGGAAGGGAGGGGGAGAGACAGAGACAGAAACATCGATGTGAGAGAGACACATCGATTGGTTGCCTCTTGCACACACCCCAACCAGGGCTGGGTTTGAGCCTGCAACTGAGGCACGTGCCCTTGACTGTAATGGAACCCAAGACCCTTCAGTCTGCGGGCTGACGCTCTACCCCTTGATCCGCTAGGGCCAGACCCGCGTCTTGAGTGTCCACAGGCGTCCTGGCCCAGGTGCCAGATGGGCGCCACCTGCGGCAGGCGATGACGTCGCAGAGGCGAGCCTCGGGTACGAGTGACGGTGGTTATTTTTAACCCTCTGCCCACCATTTCGTCAGCGTTCAGGAGAGAAAGGGAGGATGTGAGGGGAGTGGTGGCCACCGTGGAGTCATTACCACGCAGCACAGCACAGCGAGGAGGCAGAGCCATCTGCCCGGGGAGCCGCTCGCCACCTGTCCTCTGCTCCAGGGCAAGTGAGTGGGTGACTGTAACATCCTGTCCCGCCACCGAGCAGCTGGGAGTGACTGTGCTTCCCCCTCTCAGTAACTCACCCACCGAGCCACCGAGCCAGGAAGCCCCCGTGCCAGGACCCACGGGCGCAGCCGATCCGTGGCTGTCGCCGCCTCATTGGAGAAACCCGTGGGTGGGCAGCAGGCACCGAACAGCCACAACCCGGGGCTGGCGGATGCAGCCTCTTCCTTTATTTTTTTTTTTAAAATCCAGGAATTGTTTCCTCCTCCACTGCAATGAAGAATGTCATAATACATATTAACATTTCAGAGAGGCTCGGGGACAAAAATAGCATCGCAGCACAATTACTTACACTCCAGAGTGTCGGAGACTCAGCTGGCTTCTATGGGAAAGACATCTGTGTGTCTAATACAGGGATTGCGCAGCTCTCGGGAGGAAAAATATTGGATTTAAACAACCTGGGGAAAAAGACTTCGTCTAGTTTGTTTCCACAAATGAACTCCTGTTAGGGATGCGAGCTACGCGTGGCCACGCTGGCACTGCCACACTTCTTCGCTCCTCACCTGAG